GGCACAATGCGTCTTCCATGGCGCTTGCACCTGTGCCCGAACCAGGTGCCTGGTGGAAGTGCCGTTCTTGGCAACGGCGTGGTCTATGAGGGAGTTCACGTGTCCTTTGTCGCAAGTGGTGTCAACATCTGGCAACAGGGGCGAACCTCCCATCTTGGGTGGCCATTGGGTCTCCTCTAAGGAGGATGCTGGCATATTCCAGTCTCCGACCACCAGCCATGGGTCAGCAAGCCCGCGAAGAAAGGACGCCAGCGCAGCGAGTGCTTGACCATTGCGCCCTGTGACGCCCAATCCTGGCCAGAGATAAAGAGCCACCACAACCAAGTTACCATATGTCATGTGCAAAACCATAGCAGAGAATCCTCTCGTAGGGTCAGGCTGACGTGGCGCTAACGCTTGCTGACGAACAGGCCGAAATGACGCGGTAGCTACATGCTTCTTGGCCATGGCCCATTCACCGCCTGAAGAACCTCCTCGTCCCGTGAGAGTGCTGCCAGTGGCGCTGACCTTCCAGCCATCCTTGTCGATGTCGTGCTCGATCTTGGGGTGAAAGCTGGACGCGGTAATATGGGCCCCCACTAAGCAGCGCACTGAATACGGTGAAGAATTGACATAGCGGTGTGCTTGTGGCCCCCATTCTGTGATATTGCCATCGAGAACCGAGAAATCGTGCTCGTTGGTTGGGGGCTTTGATGGCGCTGGGGCTTCCTTGACCTGCTCCCCGCCTGTGCTGAAAGCCCCCCTTGGGGCCTCGGTGAGGCCGGCGGCTGGGGGGCGGCCATCCGCTTGAACAGCTGCGGGGGCTTCCTGTTGAACTTCGGGTGGCCCTTGAACGCCGGGTTCATCAGGAAGCAACTCGTCCTCCAAGTCGTCGAAAGGGTCGCGTTCCTGCGAGCCGATGATGGCACGAGGGGCAACGCGCCATGGCGCCTCCGAAGTGAAATCGGCCATGGGAGTGCGTGGGAATGGGGCGAAGCCAGGATTGCCCCAGCCCTCTGGACCTGAAGAAGGAGCCGCCAGAACCGACCCACACGTGCCAATCGATGCTCGGGGAGCCGCAACGCCCGAAGATCTTGTGGCAACTGAAGTGCTTGGCGTAGCCGAGAAAGCTCCACTCGTGGCAATTGTCGCACTGCAGGTAACCGATATCGGAGTCCTGGTGCCCGTTCCCAATCTACTTCGCGGAGTAGCCGAAGTCGCCGCACTGGTGGCAACTGAAGTACCTGGAGTGGCCGAACTGGATCCCCTCGCGGTAACTGAAGTACCTGGGGTAGCAGAATTCGATCCGCTCAAGGTGCCTGAAGCGCTGCAAGACGCTCCAAGCGAGGAAGACGGAGCCGCCGAGGCGAGCTCGGCGCACCAGAGCCCCCGGCGATTCCGCAACACAGGGTCAGCCTGGCTGCGTATGCGGAGCTGGGCTCACGCTTGTGGCCAGGGGGCTCGCGCCGTGAAGCGGTCTCCGCCCTCGCGAGCTCTGGGCGACCCGTGAAAGTCGACAACCCAGTTGCAGGATTAGAAGCCGCTGAACTTGCAGAGGCAAACCACGCAAGCCCCTGTGCTGCCTCTTCATGGGGCGTGAGAAAATGAAATGGGTCGCGCGCTCTGACCTGGCCTCCATATCGGGGTGGCCGCTGGCGCGGGCGGAGGCGCGCAAGGCCTCAGGGCTGTGCTCAGCGCTGCAAGCGCCGCCGCCAGAAGAGGCAGCATAAGAGGCAGCAGGCACAGGCGGTGCTGCTGCGGCGCCATCATTGCCGCGCCTGCGCTTGGCCTCCTCTCTGGTGCGAAGCTTCCTGGCCTCTTCGCGGAGGTCGAGGATGCGCTGGGCTGCGGGCCCGAATGCCTCCTGCAGCTTGGACTGGGCACTGCTGGCCAACCCTTGTTTGATGCGATCCCATTCTTTCTGTGCCGCTTCATCCAACTCCAGGCCAGTGGGATCGAAGAGCGGACCGTCGACAATGCTGAGCGAGCCTTCATCGACCAGCGTGGGCAGGTTGATGGCCGACGTGGCCTGCGGAGCCTGGCTCGGTGGCTGGGCGCTCGCCAGCTGCTTGGCGCAAGCGGCCTGCCACGCCTTGTGCGCCGTGTGGGCCGCCTTGGCCGCCTCGTCCTCCGCCGCCTTGGCGTCTGCCAGCCATTGCTCGCCCTCAAGGGCGCGGGCCGAGCAAGTCTCGAGCCAGGCCCGCGCACGGCGACAGTCGATGCCTGCCCTCGACACCTCCTCCTCCAGGAGAGGCGCGCGCGGAGGCGGGACGGACTGCGCCTCCTTGGCGGCGACCTTGGCCCGAAAAGCCTCCAACTCTTGACAGTCACCGAGCTGGGCGTTGAGCTGCTCCAAGGGGTCTGGCTGGGACTCGTCAGTGGCCGCACCGCCCTTGCCGTACCAGCCCGCCCCGTACCAGACCCAAGGCCTCCTGGAGATTGAGCCGCCTTTGGGTTGCGAGGGCGGCACAGGCGGGCCCTTGGCGCCCTTGGCGCCGCCTGCCGCACCACCAGCGCCAGC